GGATCATCCCGCGGAGCTGTGGCCGACCGGTGGACTCAATCCTCCCAGAATCCAATGGCAAATGAAATTAGGAGTTATTTGGTGGACGGCTCTGAGTTTTGTCTGTGTGAATATCAAAGGAGGCAAGTGCTCACAAATATTCTCCGAGGAAAGGACGTGCTTCATGGAATCTTCATTATCGATGGTATCTGCGTTCCAACCAGGTTTCTAATCTCGTTATTTACTTGTCATTTATGTATTTGTCATTGTCAGTGACGAAACCAAAGCTGATTGCAACCAAAAGTACCTGGCCGCTAGTAGTTTTAGTTCTACCATTGCTTGTGCCAACTTTTACTAAGTACTTTGTCCAATTCTTCAACTTTCCAGTGCTGATTGGCTACAAAGGGCTACAAAATTCATCGATTGATTTCATACCATATCTTAACGTCAACCCAGAGCTCTAGTCCATCAGTCAGAGTTCCTCTTCTACAGCCTCCACATCGACACCCGTCTCTGCTCCACGAGTGATCATTTCTCCTCCACTCCCCACTCCATCCCAACTCCCACTCCCTCCCCACCTGTCGCCACGAGCAGCTCACGCGCGGACCGCTGTCTCATGTCGGCGCTTAGCTCGTCTCGGGGCTCTCAGGGAGGTCGTTCCACTGGAGAGACGCCCTGAGCGTTGACGGTGATGGTGGTGAGACCACCTGGGTTCCGCTCGGCCGCCCCAGCTTCAAGACGCGTGTCCCGTACCGTCACAGTCAGGTAGAGATGGGCGAGGTTTCTTTATCGACCAGAGGCGTGGCTTGCACAGTCCATGAGACCTTGCTAAAGCGAATGAAATTCGTTGAATGATAAGCGCAGTATTTCCATGTACTTCAACTATCTATCTTTCCAACATCACTGAGGATAATGCTAAAAATATATGAATTGCTTTATGCTGCTTTCCTAAATAAGAAACAGCGTAAAGCAAATACTTATCATCCGTATCACCTTTGAAGTGACCGATCCCTAGACTAGACGTTTCCGTGGCGTCCCATGAGAAGCGGCGTCCGCGGCCCACAGGGCTGGTGCTCACTCAAGGACCTGCTCTCGCCCGGCCAGACCGGCAGTAAGACGCTGTGACAAATGTCAAGTGCTCTTCGGTCGACATTTCAATTCCGGCAGCGCAGTTTGCAGATGCAGTCAATATCAGGTCAAATTTTATCGCCGATATGTCAGGCCAATTTTCTCCGATGGCACGCTGCAGTGGGTAATGTGCTCGGCTGAAATGACCGTGTGCTTATCAAGGTCGTCTTTTGACGGCCGCGCCAGTGGCTTAGTGATGCCGTGCTGTGGGTCGTTCGCCAACAACTTGGGACAAGCCTCGCTCGTCTAGTGAACTTAAACTACCAGACTGGGGGTCCGGGTGACCTCACTGACCCCTGGGGCAGGGGAAGCCGCCCACAGAGCCCGGCCCCAGACGGGAAAACAATGAGGAACCGCCCGACCCTTCAAAACGCTGAATCAAAGCTCTGCTGGTCCCTTCAGCTTTGTCAATAGCAGACACCAGCAAGCAGTATGCTGACGACAGTATACGTATGTACAGCACAAAATAACCTGACTGTGCACCGCTTCTGGTGATGCTTAATGCAAGGCTTCCGTGGTTTGCCACGGCTCTATAGCAGCTGCCTCGTTTCACAAGGGTGTTTTTTGTGTGTGGAAAAGTCTGTTCTGTTCATGTTCAAAGCCGCGCCTGTTCATTGCTGTCGGGTAATATTACTTGAGAGCGGGCCGTGGTTCCCCAAACGAAGTAGCTCTTTATTACCCATCAGCTGGCCGAATATGTGTGGCTTCATCAGGTTCGGATTAAAAAGGTATCCTGAAGGCGTTTTAATTCAAAGAGAATCAGTGGGTATTTGAAGCAACTATCCAATTTTACATATATCCCAACAAACTCCAAGCATATCCCTATAAGCTCAGGAGAACAAAATCAAACCAGTGACGCTGAATGAAGCCAGTGCGCATGCGCTCGTATTGAGCCAGCAGAATCTCTTCACAGTCAACTTGCCTGATGGCCAACGGCATCTTATGCTACAACGAGATGGGGCGATCAGCGTGCTCGTTTTTCACCCGTCAAATGCGTGACGTTCTACACAACGCAGATCGATGTCCCCGTTCCTTCAGCGCTGCTTCTAGAATCAGCGCAGCTCGCCGATTTGTCTCCAGGGAAATATGCTCCCTGCAGATCGGCTCACCATATAAGGCGCGCCGATCAAAGTCAATTTGATAACGGACGGGGACGCTCGAAAACTGCCGCAGTGCCGGTCCGACTCAACTGAAAGGTGTACCGGTAAACAGGTTATTTACGGCGACCGGTCACCATCTGATTGGGTCCGACAGCCGCTGACGGTCGAAGTTGGGGGCCCCGTGCCGCTGCAGTGTGTCGGTAAATCGCCGCCCTTCCGACACCTCCCCGGCGGCCCGGCCACCTGTTCGCCGCCACTGTGGGAACGTGTCGACGGGGCGCCAACTTGCCCACCACCTCGAGAAAAGTTATCGGCTCGTAAAGGAGCACGTGCGGAACTGCCCGAACGCTTCCTAGTGATCGTGCGCCAGAGTTTGCCGCATTGACAAAGTGATTCTGTCATTTCTAAGACAGGACAACTATGGCAAAGAAAATGAGGATGTGCGATGAACTTGAGAAGTTAAATTTGAAGCTAAGTGCGCACGGGAACAGTGGACTTATTTCTCAGAATAGCGCGTCTTGTGCAGCCATACATTTTGCAGAAGCTTTCGCATTGCACTGACATTGCCTTTCGCACGATTCTATTGCCGTCATTTTGAATAGCCGTGTTCGATCTATCCAAAGTTTGCTAAAATAAATTTATCATGCAGACGGTACCGTACACGCATCTTTTAACCCACATAACACTGAATGCCTTATTCCTCTGAGGAACTAACAGAAGGAATGTTGCAGCGGCGTCCGATGACACGTGCTCCGCGCTCCAGAAGTACGGGTCTGGCGCAGAGCGGGATATTGAGCTGGTCTCCTGGTGACGACATTGTTGGCGCGGTATTTCGGGCCGCGCGCACGCTGTTTGTTCCCGGGGAAGCAGTGCGCCCGACATTTCTGTTATTGGGAACTTCGGAACTTCTCGTCCGCCATATTTGCCTTGGTGCTACCCTGCAGTGCACTGTGTTCACTTCTTATACCTACAAGACTGCTGCAAAAGATACTTATCACTGAAGTTTGAAATCATTTCAACTTTAGCTGTAAAATGTTTCTGCTTAAAAGCTGCGATGAAAAATGTGCCTTATGCGGTACTGCAATGTAGCATATAATAAAGAAATGTAAAATGTAGGAAAAAGAGAAGTTGAGTGACATGTCGTACTTGGTTTGATTTTGATTTAAGTCTTCAAACACTAAGTCATGGATGTTGTGGTCTATTTATATGTATTAGCTTTGAGTCAGGTGAATGAACAAGACTAATAATCTATAAATGTTTTCTAAATAGGCTAAACGACACTGCAGTGCCCCTATTTTCAAGGATGGCTGGGTGACAGCTGCTGTAGCCTGTAGCAGTGGAAAAGCAGAAAAGGAAAGACAAAAGAGATTGTCATTTTGCCGGCCTCATGTTAAGCGACAATTTGTGCAGTACCAGCCTGGACTGGCTGACGACGGTGCCCACTATTTCTGCTTAATTAATTTGACTGTTTTGGAGAACCCAGTGCCATTTTGTAAGCAAGAGCTCACGTTTAGCAACGCAATATAGTGGGTATCAAATGGTATATTAAACTAGCCAAATAAAGCGATCCTATTCGTATTACGGCACTTTCTGGTTTAGCAACTAGCCCAGACAAATACGCTATCTGTAATGTTGCACCTATCAATTTCAAAACAAAGCACATATTTTTCAAATTTGGACGTTCCTGAAGTTATAAAAAGGCTTACTTGGCGTTACTTTGCTTCGCTTACTCTACTTTGCCTTGCGACAAAGGTATAATTGAAATAACTTTTGATTTCAAGATTTCTTTTTTTCTTTAAGCTGACAAGCCCTTTAAAGTACATACTTTGATCTAACCAGGCTGCTGTGAAGGGTCTTGTATCATTTCACTTGCCTTGAAGCTTTGAGGCTTAAGTGCTTCAAACCAAAAGCGTTGTCAATAGTTTCAGGAATGTGTTAGGTAGGCACTTGTAGCACCGTTAATCCAAGTACTCGTCTCTCTCTCTCTCTTTCTCTTTCCTCTTTCTCTCTCTCTCTCTCTCTCTCTCTCTCTCTCTCTCTCTCCTCTCTCTCTCTCTCTCTCTCTCTCTCTCTCTCTCTCTCTCTCTCTCTCTTCAAAGTCACTTTATTTCCTTTTCTCTCTCTCCCTTAACGTTCACTCTTACATAATGAGCATATTTCCTCTTATTCATCTCTTATGAAGCTGTTAGAGAACAGCCTCGTTAAAAAATACACCGACTGTAAGTACACGATAATAAGCGCTCTTTTATACACCTTCATTCTTTGCGGTACAGTAGACATCGAATAACCAGCTAACAGCACTGTAAATCTCGCAAATTCACACGATCAGCAAAGGTAGACACAACCCGGTTCAGAAACATTTAGGTCATCAACGGGCTTAAAAGTGGGCGGTTCTCAACGACAAAGTGCACCTCAAATCCTATTTCACTCTTCTTTACGTGAGGATAGTCGTGAACTAAGTAACTGAAAATGGTCTTATGGAATATCGGCGTAACAGCGATATTCAATAAGATCACCATTTCTACCTCGGGGCGACTTCGTGGTATCTCTTCACAATTCCATAACCTGACTCATTCCAGGAACTCCTGCGGTCTGACGCTGCCACGTCCCGTCTGCAGCGCATGAGGGATGCGCAGTGACCTGAGTGACCTTCTTCCGCTAATATACGCACTACGCAGTGACTTGAGTGACCTTCCGCAGCTGGGTCGGTGAGTTGACCTGAGTGACCTGGGTGACCTCCTGTCCCTGGGAAGTGAAGAGACCTCAGTGACCTGTTTGACCTGTCTGTTGCAGGCGGCGCCGACCTGTACCCCGTGATGGTGTACATCCACGGCGACTCGTACCTCTGGTCGTCGGGAAACCTGTACGACGGCGGCGTGCTGGCCAGCTTTGGCGAGGTGGTGGTCATCACCATCAACTATCGACTCGGCCTGTTCGGTGAGTGACGAATGGGATGAATGTCACTTTCCTCCATGCCGGTGGGATGTGGGTCGAGCACATCCTCAACACAGTCCGAGTGGCACGGGACGAGCACACCTTCAAGACAACCCCGGTGCCGTGGGTCGAATACGTCCTCAACAACGCCCAGGTGGCGCGAAACGAACTCACCTTTGTTAGGTGTGTCATGCCGCGGTAACAATGTACTCCCCGACCCTGGTGCCACTTGAATAGCGTACCATCCGCAGTGTCGACGTATAAGGACGTGCAAAGCAAAATATCTAGGATATTTTCGGAGTATAGTGACTGCGCAAATCGTCAACTGAACCCGTGGAAGTCTTTGATCCCAGTGAAATTCGTTACTGTCAACTGCGCAGTTTAGAACACCACTCAGCGTTCAGCCTTAATTGGTCGGTAAACCTCTGCAACTATTTCATAGCCGTGTAGCATGCCCGTCCCAGCCGCCTGGCTGATCGCGGGCCATGGGATTCCTGAGCGCCTTGCTCTCGTTCGGAGCTGCTGGGAAATATTTTGGAAATAAATTATGATCCAATTTAGACAGCTGCCACCGTAGCTCGCAGAGAAAACCACATCGGTGCCTGGGCCGCTGAAGTCAGCCGTCGATGATTGAACATGGTCCGGCCAGTGACGCTTATTTTCTCTCAGACAGTGCGGCAGATTGGTGAGTTTCATCAATGGGATAGTTTCCTGTTAACGACATAAATAGTTACATTATCTAAGAGACGAAGCTTATTATTTCTTTGAACACAATATATGCGGAAACTTTATCGGATTAGATGAAAAGCAACAAGATGCCTTAATGGTTCGCTCTCTTCCAGCCGGCCAGATGTGCTACCTGTGATTTGTTATTTCATAAAACGCTACGACAATTTTCTTAGCGGTGCGGGTCGTTTTGTCTACTTGTAATTAGATTTTTAAATTTGCCACGAAGTCTACTAATTACCTGACAAGCCCAGATATTTTAAGTCGAAAGCAACAAGGAACGGATTCATTTTGTAAGCATATTTCTTGTTTGCTACAGATCGGCTTTTGTTAGGCAGGTACCAGACGGATATACACACCGCAAACAGTTAAAAGACGCATGGTTTTCCAACACGTTTTCCCAATTTAATTCAAAGAACCGGATTTCACTGACATTACAGTGTATATCCTTGCGATGGGTGACTATTCCGAGTACTTGCTGCCCGGCAGATCAGGCAGCGGCAGATCAGGCATCTGCGACGTGAGCCGGTCGGTATCAGCGCGGATATTTGACAACTTCTCCAATATATCGGCCGACTAACCGCTATGTAATAAGCTGCTAATATTATCCAGAGGTCGGCAGGGGGATGGGGCTAAACGCTGGACAACTTGAGGTGGTAAGGAGACTGTCACAGGGCGCAGTAGCGGTGGGCAGCGACTGTGGCGCCTGGTGATGTGTGGGATTAGTGGTAGACAGCGGCGATGACGGGCGGAGACGGTACACGGGGGGCAGCGCCAGGCGGTGGGGAGGAGGGGGTGCGGGGTAAGGAGCGAGTGTCGCTCTCCGGTGCAGACTGTCGCCATCTCCGGAGGCAATTACATAGGGCAGGATGGCGGGCGGGAGATCGGTCACAGTACACGAGCACAGCACCGGAGCAGGCGGCTCAGCCCGGTGACTCGGCAGAGCACTCAGGGACAGAGGGCATGTGAGGAGCGGACATAGGAGAGAGAGAGAGAGAGAGAGAGAGAGAGAGAGAGAGAGAGAGAGAGAGAGAGAGAGAGAGAGAGAGAGAGAGAGAGAGAGAGAGAATGGAGGGAGAGATATAGAGAGGGAAATAGGGAGGGAGAATGGCAGGGAGAGAGTGAGGAGTGGGAGAGAGAGAGAGAGAGAGAGAGAGAGAGAGAGAGAGAGAGAGAGAGAGAGAGAGAGAGAGAGAGAGTGAGTGAGTGAGAGAGAGAGAGAGAGAAAGAGAGAGAGAGAGAGAGAGAGAGAGAGAGAGAGAGAGAGAGAGAGAGAGAGAGAGAGAGAGAGAGAGAGAGAGAGAGAGAGAGAGAGAGAGAGAGAGAGAGAGAGAGAGAGAGAGAGAGAGAGAGAGAGAGAGAGAGAGAGAGAGCAGGAGAGAGAGGGAGAGAGCCTATGGATATCATGGAGCGAGCAGACGAGTGCACGAAGTTATTACATTCAGCGGGCTTCAGGTGCCACCGGACACACAAAACTCTCCGGAGACGTGACAGTGTGGCAGAAATAAGCGAGTTGAAACACCAACAAGCTGGAGGGTCCTCATTCGCTCGTAGGAGGCGTGACCGGCCTGCAAATAGCCCGAGTCTGGGTCACTGCCCAGGCTAGACATTACGTCGGAGCCTCTGTAAAGAACGGACGTGGTAAATATAACGACAAGACACTTGTTGTGTAGCACATAGTAGGCTTCACGTGGCACGTAAACACCGCCTTACAGCTTCAGATGGGAACAATCCAAAGCAATCCGAAGCTAAATGTGTCTGAACTGACTCAGTTCAATATTATAACTGTGCCAACATTAAGCTAGTGGGCTGAATGCCATGCCATACTGACATCTGATATTTGCATGCCACGGCATTGTTCCTTTTACAACGTCCCATCTAGGCGACAATGAATGTCTTGCTCCTACCCAACTATGCCAGCTCCGCAATCGTTGACAGACACGACATTTCCACGAATAATACCCACCTTTTGTCGCAGAGCAGCCTCGGTTCTTCGCCCCTCCCCCATCAGACGGCGGCCTAAGTTGCAATAAATGCGCAATATCGCCCGCGTTGCAATCGTAAAGTGCAATAAACACCTAATGAAAGCTGGCCACTTGGCGCTCACGTGTCTGACGGTGATCGATCTAATTACCGCGGCAGGGTATCGGTGTCCGGCCTGAGATTACCGTCTTGGTGCAGGAATTAGAGCTGACGGGATTTACTGGAAAAGGTCGAATGTGTTTCCAATGAAATGAATGTTTTTGTTGCGACATGAATCGCTGATTACTGGAAATGATTAGTCTCCTGTCTCCTTAGCACGCAAGACAAGCTTCTGATGGCAGTGTAAATATCGAATCGAAAGCTCTAATTTTCTATAATAGTTATTAAGCTGACAAACAAACACCCACTATGGAAGCTGCAAGCAACTAGGCCTTTAATTTATAGCCGAAAGTCAAAGCAGCTCCAAACTTAACCCGCGCCCCACTGGGGGGGGGGGCTATTTATAGCCCCCCCTCACGTTTTTCTGCAATAACTTCCAAACCGCTTGACGAATCGACGCCAAACTTTCAGTACCTTCGGCTGCATCAATTTGACACCTTGTGTCAAAATTTGAACTTCGTAGCTACCATAGGTCGGCCGGAAATGACGTCAGAGTGACGTCATGTTCGTCCGATTTCGACGCAAAACATTGAACCACGGCAATCGCTCCCAAGAGCTCAGTTTTTAAGCTAGATCCAATTTCTTTGCATGCAAGGACTCAGAATTGACCGCGCTATCAAACTGCTATCTCGGATTTTCAAAATTTTGAAAATTTCGAAAATTTTATATAATAATATTCAAAATTTATATTTTTATATATTTTTCAAAAAGTTTTTGACTTTTCGAAAAAACCGGAATATATGTGACAGAACGCATGATAATGACTAACTATAGCAAGTTTTAGCTAAATATCTTCAAAAATGGCCAAGTTATACGCATTATTGCAAAAAATTCACAATTATTAATTTTTCAAATCAATTTTTCAGTACGTATTTGGCATCGTACACCAATATAAATGGCACCATCGTGTTCCTGAGCTCAAACTGCATCCAATAGACACCTTTTTTGTTGAAAAATTTCAACTTCAAAATTTGACCTTTTTTGACCTGAAAGTGACCTGACCTAAGCTAATTTCGACTCAAAATGACCTTGAATGACACAGACGACATCAAATTCGAAATCTATGGCCTAAATGGACCATAAAACATGTGTCACGTGACCGACGCATGATATAATATTTTCGTGACCTGTGATGACCTGACCCTGACCTGAAAATCAAAATAAAAGTTTGGTACCCTCAAGGTATCTAGAGCATCTGTTCACGAGTGTGGAAACCAAAAATGAGCCTGATCTGACTTGTAAGACGGCGGCCAGAGCCCAAAATGTGAACAAGCCAAAGTGCTAATAATTTTTACTTTGACCTGACCTGTGACGTCATCGGTGACCTCGAGGTCAATGAAATTAGGTTTCGCTCGACAGTTTTTCCGGGGCTATCAGACGCCGTTTGAATTTTGACGATCGGCCCAGTAGTTTCGGAGTTAGGAGGGGGGCTATGAATAGCCCCCCCCCCAGTAGGGCGTGTTAAGCTCAGGCTACACTAGCGACGTTTTTTCGGTTTCTGCGGGATTTCGGTTTCCGCGTTTTTTCGGTTTCTGCGTTTTTTCGGTTTCTGCGTTTTTTTCGGTTTCTGCGTTTTTTCGTTCCAATCGGAGCGGCCTCTGCGAATGCGTGCTATGCAGCAGCCGCATTTGTGTACGTCGTATTGTCTGATCTGTTGAAGTTGAGCCGCAGTAAATGGATCGTCAAACATTATTAAGAGTTTTATTTTTGCGCCGTGAACGCGAGAGACAGCGACGAAGCCTGTGGGTTCGCCCGGTGCTGTTGCGCCGAGAAGAGTGCGGCGAGTTCCACACGCTAGTACAGGAACTGCGCCAGAATGATCCTGAGGGCCATCGGCGCTACTTCAGGATGAGCGTCAATGAATTTGACGAGGTGCTCGGCAAGATCGAGCCCGTCATCACGAAGGAGATCACGCACCTGAGGAAGCCGATCTCGGCAGCAGAGCGCCTGGCGGCAACGCTGCGGTAAGACCTGAAGCCTCTTCATACTTTCAATGCGCGTATAATTCTCAATGAAACACATAAGCTTGCATAACCAGAAAAGGTGCCTCAATTTCCAATCGACTAATTACGAATATGACATAGGCGCAATGACGTAACAAAGGACTGACATTTTTTAATTACTACATATGTGTA